TGTGCGCGTGCCTTAGGCAAAAGGCAAAAGGCAAAAGGCAAAAGGAAGAAGCCGGGAATTCAGCTTGGGCCTCGTCCAGCCCGGGATTCTTCGATGCGTCTTCGATGCTTCAACCTTCTTCCATCCTCGCCCGTATCATAACCTAACCGCACGGAGCATGCTGGGTTATGCTGCGGGGTACTAGAGTATCATTCGGCGAGTACCTTCCCTAGTCTTGATTCCAACAAGGCCGTCATTGAGCTTTGATGCGCCGGCCGAAGAATGTATTGTGGCTTGCTGGGGAAGTCGAATCGGTCTCCCTCGCGCCATGCAAGCAAGCAAACATCCTCACCCCCTTTCTCCCCTCCAGCGCATGTCAGTTACGAGAGATTTCTGCGGTCGCCATGAAAAATGACGCGGGGGCTTCGCCATCTTTTCGACGTCCCCTGTCTCTAGGGAAAAGAGGGCCCATCCATGCTGACTACCCTTGCTTGGGTCGGACCTCGTTTGGAGGAGACGAGTAGGTAGACAGAGACTCGCTACCACGAATTCTCGGGTGGATACAAGGTACAACTCCACGCTTGATCGATCGCGAATAGGGACCGTGACACCATCGGGTTGCCCTACGGCCTGACAAAAGACAAGGAGTCACTGGTTCTGAGACATTGCGACTTGGCGCAGCTCTTTTCTCAATCGTTTTTCTTCCATCAATGAACAAATGCTGACTGGTTTCTCGGTTATTTAGTTATGCATGAGGGTGATTACCCTGGCCTTGTCCTGAATACTACCACATACCCCAGACAGCACAAGGCTGGCTGAAGGCGGTGGCAACTCATTTTTGCGTTGTCCACAACAATGTATTCTGATCTCGACTACGACACACAAAGCCTCCATTCGGAGAATCATGATGGAACGTCGACCACCTTATGCCATAACGACATTCTCAAGGCCCAGCTATGCTGCTGTCATCGGCCAATGAAAAGTCTTAGCTCTTGAGTAGCGCCAACCCCCTTTATGCTTGCCGAATTCCGATAATGCAATCATAAGGCAATCGAGGATGTCACCTTGGCGAGATTCTCGTCATCTCTTCGTTCCTTGAATTATTCCTGGTCCGTAGTTGCAGCTGTGCGACGTCTCTCTCACCATCTCAAGTCTATTCTCCAGACGGGACCATTCATACTGATACTCTATCACGTTCATCATGAAGGTCGCCGATCCGGACACGAATGACGTTGTCCCCTCCTAGTGTACTCCGTATGGGCAGCCGCCCTTCTCAAACGGAATACGCTAGGCGTCTGAAACGAGAGCCATCAGGGCCTAAGGGCCCTTCATTTCGGGTATGGCTTGGTCTACCCGAGCCACCGATCAAATCCCACCCGTTTCCACATCTCACTCTCAATCTTAGGTGTATCCTGAGTCCACTGACACTGCGTTCTGACTCGAGTATGATCAATGGCTAAAAATAACGTAGGGCGTTCCAGGTGGAAACCTCTGAGGGACGATTGGGCCGGTCATCTGGTTTCTCGAATCCTTCGAGAACAAGACCTACGATACTGGAAGCTGTGGACAGTCAAGTAGTGTGGGAATTGACGGTGGGTCTGCGGTACGGAGTAGCGTACGGAGCATGACCGTGCCGTCGATTTTCCATTTCAACTACAGTATTTACCGTGTGGTCTGGGGAGGCATTTTTAGCGACCAGCCCGTGAGCGTGTGGAAAGCCCTACGTGGGACGGTTCCCAAGCCCAGTGATGCCTTGCTGCAACTCCACAAGCAACGTCGAGTCAGACGGCGCGTGCTGCCATCCTGGTCGGTCCTTTATCAGATTCGGCCCTTGTTCGCGCTGTGCTACTGCACAGCACACGGGAAATGCTAACCGTTTTGGCCTTCCCCCAGTGCTCCTGGCCCTCGATTCCTTCGTGGTGAAGAGCTAGTTCTCGACACGTGTCATGCTTACTTGCACTTTCGTACAGACATCATCCGGTTGGCTGTGGCTCTAGATTCTTGCATGCATTCGCCTGCTTCGGGAATTTCTCTACCATAGCGTTCTTTGCCATCCCATCCGCTGCTCCGGATTCGACATGGGGCTTAGCCATATCGAGGGGCTCGGTATACCCGGGCTACCGAAGATACTTTTACTCTGCCAGTTTCAGCCGGGTGATGCCGGCCATGCCACTAGCTCCGAGTCCTCAGGGTGGTCGTCAGTTTCTTCTGTGTCTCTTCTTTTACCGATATTCTCATCTAGTCTTCAGTCCTTGCCGGCATGAAAAGCCACTCCGGAACAAAAAGGGACGCACATCTATATGAAACCAGGCTCTGGGGCGCATTGCGTTTCCCATCCCTCATATAATCGTCAAAATTAACTCGAGTGGGACACGTTCTGGAGAGCTATGCCGACACAGGTTAGCCAATAATATGACGCACTACGTCTGCGCAAGGGCATCGAAGCCCTATGCGTCCAGCAAGCCAGGTTTCCAGCTATAGACCATTCAGTGATCAACACGTGTGGGCGTGGGTGATGCCATGGACCCTGGCTCAAGGTGGTCTGAATTCAAGGAAAACCCACCGACAGAGGGCATCAATGCCGCAAGTAGGTTTCTTGATGGAAGTCCAATCGACCTGCTTACTTTCTCTGGTTTTGGTCATTTGACTAGACTGATGGGGTCGGGATAACACCGCCGCCCCCTTGGAGATCCCTAAGCGAGACGGTTCATAGACAGAAGTAGCTTATGTCCTATTGAGTCTCAAGCCATCGGGAGGGTCATTACCTGCATCGAATCGCCGCATACCATGCTGTTAGATGCGCATTGAACCGCTTTCATGAGGGCGCCAATGACACGCGCTAGTTGGGGCATCCCATGCCCGCGATTGGTTTCACGTTTCGACTGGGCCGGGCATTGCGCGTCTCCTGCGCCACTTGTCTACCCGCGGTGTCTTGAAGTTTCAAGTGAGTATACCTTTGGATAGGACTCCTATGTCGGAGATCTGAAACCGAAGGCGGCCTTTGTAAGTGCTCAGTACTTAATTGCAATCAGCCATCGTATTGCGTATAATTCATGGATTGAACGTAGAGTCATTGATACGAGTGAAGCACGATCAGAGCTGTTCTTGGGGTTCTCCACATAACAGAACAACTGCAAAGTTGTAGAATATCGTAGTCGCTGAAGTCACCTGCTCTCCCGCCAGTCCGATATAATTTTGGTGTAACCGTGTTTTGCTCCCCGCCTCCGCACGCTCCAGCCCCGCACCATCAACCCGTCAACAACCCAACCCAATGACTATCTCGAGCAATTGAGCTATTGGGGCTATCTCCAATGGACCTTTCCAAGCCAGTAGATGACGAGTTCACTCGAGCTCTCCCGAAGATCGAGGCAAGTCAAGCAATCCTTTCTGGTGCAGAGGAACCTCAACTACCCTCTTCCCTTCTCTTCTCCCCACCACCAACCCCCACACCTCACAATCCCACAACATTCAAACCCCCCCTCCCCCCAAACAAACCAGAAGAAGATCCACTAACCTACAACCCTACAGCTCCACGCCCACCTAAGCGGCAGCATAAGCCGACAATGCCTCCACGAGATCTGGGCCCAGAAGAAAGCCCAATCCCCGGAGACCTTCACCCTGGAAGATCCTCTGGTAGTGATGCCCCCCGGCAAAGTGGACTATTCTCTGCAGACGTGCGTGTCCCTCCTCCCTTCACTCTCTGGGAAAGCCACTTCCACCAACCCGAGTGCACATCCACTTCATCAAGCCCCTACAAACATACCTCCCCCACCCCCCCCAAAACTCCAGGAGAACACACAAACACACTAAAAAGCCCTCCAAAAGAGCAGATTCTTCACCACATTCTCCCACACAATCTACCACCTCCTGACCACCCTCTCCGACATCCGGGCCGCCACGCGGTCCACCCTGGCCGACTTCGCCGCCGACGGCGTCGTCTACCTGGAACTGCGGACGATCCCGCGCGCCTCGCCGGCGCAGTCGTTCACGCGGGAGGAGTACCTGACCACAGTGCTTGACACAATCGCCGAGTTTGGGTTGCAGCAGCAGCAGCAGCAGCAGCCCCCCGCAAATGCATCAACGCTCCCCAGCGAAAGCGGAGCCTCCACGAAGAGAGCAGCGATGACGACGAACCTCATCCTCGCTATCGACCGGGGCACCATGACCGCCCAGGACGCGATGGAGGTCGTCCAGCTAGCCATCAAGCACCGTTTCCCAACCCCCAGCACGAGGCCTAGCACCCAGCCTCAAAAAGCCGGGGGGACAGTAATCGGCCTCGACATCTGCGGCAACCCCACGAAAGGCGACATCGCGCTGTACGCGCCCGCCATCGCCCTCGCCAAAGCGGCGGGGCTAGGCGTGACCGTGCATTTCGCCGAGGTGGCCCCCAACCCCCACCAACCCTGGAGACAGGAGGAGGAGTTGCGGACCTTGCTCGACTTCGAACCGGATCGCCTGGGCCACGTGATCCACGTGTCGGCCCCGATAAAGCAGGCCATCCAACAACAGAGATGTGCGCTGGAGCTGTGTCTGTCGTGTAATGTGCACGCGGGCATGGTGGCGGGCGGGTTCGCGGAGCATCATTTTGGGGAGTGGTGGGCCGACGGGACCGGGCAGTGCGTGGTGGTGTTGTGTGTGAGTACTTATCCTTTTGCCCTTCGTCTGTTTTCGGGGGAGGCGGGGGGGTGGATGTTGTTGGTTACGTTGCGGTGGTGCTGACGCTGCGCAGACGGATGATGTCGGGTTCTTCTGTAGTCCGGTGTCGAACGAGTATCGGCTCGCGGCGGAGCATTTCCGTCTGAGTCGGGCGGAGGTGTTGAGGCTTTGTCGGCGGTCGTACGGCGCCATCTTTGGGGGTGTAGCGGAGACCGAGCGGCTGCATAAACTTCTCGATGATTTCGAGGCGGGCTACAAGGGTTGAATCCCCATTATAAAAAGAGTTCATGATTTTCTGCGTTAGACCAAGCTATCGATGAAGATAATTAACACTAGACATAGACTTTTCCCTTCCAGACACAACTCTAGCTCTGCCACCGGAATTTCCCCTCCTTCAGCGTCTTAATCACCCCCAAAGGCATATACTCGCGGCTGACGGCGGCCAGGTTCCCGTAGCGGTCGGTCATATCCTCGTGGTACAGCTCCGCCACCCACCGCCAATACGCCGACATGGCCCACCACTCGCCCGAGATGATCTTGCGCTTGCTCGCCGCCTCCTCGATCCCTTCGTCCAACACCATCTGATGGCGCTGGAAGTGCGCCGTCTGGTCCACGCTCTCCTCCTCCGGCACGCGGATCAGGTCCTCGTACGCCCGCAGCAGCGGCCGGCTGTAGGTCTCGGGATACCGCGTGTACTCTGCCAGCGCGAGGGCGGAGGAGGACGAGGGGACCTCGGATGAATCTGCTGCTCCGTAGTTGCTCCAGCTGGAACCACCCACCAGGGCGGGCCCGTCGTTCACGAAGCGCTCCTTGACCTCCAGGTACTCGGCCTCGTCCTCGACGAAGGCCGTGCGCAGCCGCGCGGCGGGGCTCTGCTTGATGTTCTCGCGCATGGCGAGGAAGGGGATGTAGGGGTTCAGCAGCTCGATACCCCCCAATTCGACGGGGAAGTAGAAGAAGCCCTCGGGGAGGTCTTCCGTGTTCTTGAACCGGTGGGCGATCTCCTGGCGCAGGTAGTCGGTGACGCCGCTGGCGTTGTCGGGGAACAGGGTCCGCTCGATGCGGTTGAGGGTCGCGATGGCCATGTCGATGTGGCGGCGGCCGAAGCACATGGCCGGCGTGGCGAAGTTGTTGGCGAAGAAGCGCCCGAAGTAGCTGTTCCAGGCCTGGACCCAGGCGAAGATGCTCTTGCAGGACGAAAGCTGCCGCTGGAGCTCGTCGATGTGGCTGTCCACCTGCGCCTGGTCGATGATGAAGCGCCCTTCCTCCGGGTCGAGCTTGAGGAAGCCCCAGCGGATGTCCCCTTGGGGCAGCAGAGCGCTGGGCGACGCGCTGGTCGTCTCTTTGCGGGCTGGTGGTTGTCCATGAGGCCGTGGCACCGTGTCCTTGGCAACAAACTTGGTCGTGCCGGTCTTCTCCTCGTTAAATCGAAGACCCATCACCCCGGCGAAGGTGGTCATCGTCTGCCACGCCTGGACGCAGGTGTCTTCGTGACCCCAGAACCAGAAGTCATCGTGGAGCCGGTACAGGTAGCCGCCGTCCGTGCTCTGGTTCACGGCAAAGTCCATGCAGAAGAGCACCGCTTCGCCAAAGAAATCCGACAGCGCATGGCTCATGGGCACCCCGCGTCGGCGGACCGACACGGAGGCCGTGGGGCCGTCCTGGACAAACGAGATGGGGGCCTTGAGGAAGGTGTCGAAGAAGTGCAGCCAGGTCTGCGGGACTCCGAAGTATTCCAGCACCGTAGAGATGGTGGTGTGGGCGAGCGAGGGTCCGAAATATTCAAAGTCCGACCGGATGGCCGTGAACTCTCCATGCAGGGAGGTGTAGACCAGGGACTCGGTGATGAGGAGATGGAGCAGCGAATGCTTGATCTCCATGCCGTTCTTTTTCTTCTTCGCTTCCTCATCGTCATCGTCGTCGGCTTCCTCCTCGGCGTAGGGGTCGGACGTATCGTTCACCGAGCTGGGCAACGAGGTCATGAAGTACTGCTCCTTGAACGTGTTCTTCCGTAAGGCATGGACCGACTGGACCCCGGAGCTCCGGCTCACCGACTCCCTCCTGAATCGCGACCGCCGCACGACTTGCTCCTCCGAGACCTCGTCGCGCAGCGACTTCCAGGCCGGAGATCCCAGGAACTCCTCGAGGGCCGATCGCAGGGCCACCGCCCACCGCACGCCGAGGTACTGGAACATGAGGCTGTCCAGCAGATCCTCATCCATAAACACGCGGTACTTGCCGTTCAGCTGCCGGCGCATCTCAACGGGGATCCCCTCCCCGGACCAGGCCCAGGTGTCCAAGGCGCCGAGGCGCATGTTGAGCACGTCGGCGACTTCCTGTGCGACGGCGTCGTTGCGCATGAACTCCTTCAGGATGGCCGTCTTCTCCTTGGTAAGCAGGTCCGAGCTCAGCAGGGACTTGGAGATCCAGGCGAGATCCTTCGCTTTGAACCAGGTCTTCTTGGACGCGAACTCGGTGCCGAAGGACCGGAACTTGTCGCGGAGCCCCTTCAACGCCTGCTGGGTTTGCGTCGACGTCCCGAAGATGCCGTCCAGGTACGTGCGGATCGCCGCTGCGTCGATGTCCGCCTCGGTGAAGACCAGGGACTCCCACCTGGCGCGCTGTTCGTGCATCTCTGCGCGCCCGACCTTCTCGAAGCTCGCATTGTTCTCGTCGGCACCAGCGTCGGCGCCGGCTGCACTCGGAGCGGCGTACTCCCCCCCGTTGAGGTCGCCCAGCCATTCCGTCACCAGATCACTGTAGAAGGAGGCGTGCTCATGTCGGAGCTGCAGAAACTGAAGCTCCTTTTCCAGCTTGGCGATCCAGCCCTTGAGGCTGCGCTCCGAGACGGACGGGTCATACTGGCTCTGGAGGAGAAAGCGTCGGATATTGGCGTACTCCGCGCCTTCGGACAGGTCTTTCACGAAAGTGTCTCCGCCTGCGGAGTGGTCTGCGTCCAGATCGTGACGGTCGATGGCTATGTTCGGATAGCCCTTGAGTCTGGTCACCCCTTCCAACAGAATTCGGGTTTTGGTGCGGAGATCGGGGGCGTCTTCAGCGGCCTTTGCGATTTCTTTCCTTCGTTGCTCGAACAAATTGCGCTGCTTTGAGAGTTCGTTGATTTTGGTCGCGGTGATCGAGCCCAGAGTCTGGGGCAGAGCGCCGCCGGACAGCATCGTTGTAGTCCCTTGTGGAAGATTGGTGGGAAACAAAAGACTTCAACAGCACTGTTCAGACACGTAGAGAGATAGAAAAGAAAGGAGAAGGGGAAAATTCGAAGAAAAGTTGTCGAGTGGGTTCAATCCAGCGATCGACAAAAATAAGAGCTCCAAAGAAGCTCCATTATATACTCGTAAACGGGTGGGGACGAAGCTCCGCGGCGGAGTCCCAAAGCGGAATCATCACAACGCATCCACCACCTTTTGCCTCTCAGCTCAGCTTCCGACTCAGCCTTCTTCTTCTTCTTCGACATCCCAAAAGGGTTCCCGACATACTATCTGAGTCACCACCGCCGACTACCACCGTCGTCATGATGATCAATCGGACGACGACCGCCGTGCGAATCTGAGCAGGCACTGGTCATACTGCATTTCCAGGAAGCTCGAGCCCCGCAGTTCAGCCGCAGCAGCAGAGAATCTCCACCGATGCACGATCGCCCTCACAGCCTTGGCAAGAATAAGCGACGCCAGATCGCGTCCACTGCAGCCCCGGGGCCCTCTGCTGAACGCGACGAACCGGCGGTCCAGTTGCCGGCGAGATTCTTCGTCGTCGTCGCTGCTCCCCGAACCCAACCAGCGCTGCGGCACCCATCGGTCGGCATCATCGCCCCAGATCTCCCGCGACCGACCCAGCACATACGTGCTGGCCGAGACCGTCGTGCCAGCGGGCAGGGGATGGGACAGGCCCGGGATGGCCATCTCCGCACCCGACCTGATCACTCGCGGGAACGCCGTCGTAAAGGGTGCGCGGAAGCGCAGGGTCTCCTTGATGACGGCCTGTAACTCGAGCGACGACGACGACAACGGCAGCGAAGAAGCATCCGTCGAGGTTGAGCCCTCAAGGGCCTCACCCTCCAAGCCAGCGCGCAGCTTCTCCTGCCAGATGTGACCCTCCGGAAGGCCCAACTGGTAGAGAATGGCCGTCAACGCGGCCGCCATGCTGCCGGGGCCCGCAAACACCAAATTAAAGGCCTCCGACACGGCCTCAGCGGGCATCATCTTCTGATGATGATGATGATCTGCAACACCATCCGCCGACGAACTCAACCCCCCCAGCAGCCAGCTCTTCACAATCCCGGGCTGCGAATCCCCCTCCCCCGCAAAGACCTCCGGACCCATCAAAATCGCCGCTGCACCACGATGCATGAGCCCGTTCAACCCGACCATCGCGCCATCGGCATTGTACCTCGGCCGGCGCAGACACGCCACCGCCAGACGGGTATTCATCAGCCACCCGAACAGCGGCCAGAGCGAGTAACTCCAGACCATCTTGCTCACGTAGCGAATGCTCGCGCCGAGGTTGCCCGCGACATCGTTGTCCGTGTAAGGGTGGGGACCCACCGCCGGCCCAAAGAGGATGTCCAGCATCACGTCCAGGGTGAAGCGATGGATGAGCGGGGCCACGTTCACGTTCACGTTCAGTTCTCCCGAAAGTCCAACTTGCTCCTGTTCCTGCTCCTGTTCCTGCTCCAACCGCCCAACCAACACGGCGACATGCCTCGCGATCACCGGCTCGTAGCGCCGGATCTGGGCGCGCGTCAGCGCCGGCCCCAGCATCCTCCGGCGCTTCTGGCGGTGGACGAGGTTCGACTGCGCGGCGAAGACGCTGACGTCGCGCTGGGGGCGGCGGCGGCGCCCCTCCCCGAACGTGTAGAAGTCGTCCTTCTCGATCGCTTTGTGGAAGCCGTAGATGGCCTCGAAGGCCGGGAGCTGCGAGAACGAGAGCCAGTTCGGAGCGACCCGGACGATCGGGCCGTAGCGCTGGTGCAGTTTCTCTTCGGTGAGATGGTGCTGGCCGCGAAGGAAGCTGGCGAATTTCCTGGGGGTTTTGGATATGGAGTCAGCGTGCACATAGACACATATGAGATGTACACAGAGTAGGTACACATCTTCAAGGTTGGGTTCCCCCACAGCCAAACACAGCCAAACACAGCCCCCCCCCCCCCCCCCCAGCCCATCTCTACAGATTGCAACCAGAAGAGAATGTAGACATACCAGATATTCGTGAAATGCGCCAGAAAGGGTCCCGGATACCGCGCCAGAGGGTGGAAGTAGTAGCTATACAGCACGTGGGCGAGAAGATCGGCCAGCAGGAACTGGACGAGGAGCCGGATGGCAGAAGTCATCGTCGCGTAGCGTAGCGTATCAAGTCAGGTAAATTTCCACGATGTCGTGAGCCAGCCAGCCAGGGTAGATGATGACGAGAGGGGTAGCAGACTGGATAAAATGCTAGACCAACAACAGTCCGGAAAGAAACTCTTGGGAGAGTGAGAGGGTGATCACGAGATGGTCGTGGGGTTGCTTCTTCCTGACATGCTTTGCCTGTTGGAAGGCTGCAGTCACTCACCGACTTTGTACCATATACCTAGTACCTGACAGTCACTGCGCAACTGCACGGTATTCTAAGAGGTCAGGTCGGAGAAACGAGACAAAGGAAGAAGCGTATGAACCTGCGGAGTAACTATACTTTGGTGTGTTTCCCCTCCACGTGCCCGTTGAAGCCGCCTGTCCTCAGGCAGCCTCCACCCGCGGACTCGGAGTAAATCTGATCGCTACAAGGTACAAGTATCTCACCGGATAAGAGATCAGGAAATCAAGCATGGGTGTGCATGCAAAACTATCCCGGCGAAAACCACCGAGTGATAAGTGTATGATTCTGTGTGGGTATGTGTCAAATTACAAAAATGGTGGTGCTCATCATCAGGCAACAAATTAGTGCACTGTTATCATCATAAGAAAAGAAATCGTGTCTCATCATCAATCATCATACAAGCGAGGATGCCCGCGACTTTGGATGCTTCTGGTCAACAGTCGACGCAAAGTCTATCGGCTTGCCCGCAGTGTTCTCCTCTTCGCCGTCAACCTCCTCGCCGTCCGCGATCGACAGCGCACCTTCCACCTTGACCTCATGCCACGTTTCGCTGGTGCCAGGGATGGGGAAGAAGCGGGTCAGCGCATAGTACATCACGGCCGACACGACGAACCCGGAAAAGTAGTTGATGTTGTATATGTATTGGGCGCCAACCGGCACGTCCCGGCCCACAGCGCCGGCAAAACCCACAATGTTGACCAGAATGCCCGCAATGTACGAGGCGTATGCGTGCCAGGAAAAGCCACAGATGTAATGGTACGGGGAACTGCGGCTCGCGTTGTACAGGTCCTTCACTTGGAGATAGCCCTTGCGAACGATGTAGTAGTCGCACACGATGGGGCCCGCAATGGAAGATAGGAAGACTGAGTAGGCGGACAGGTAGGTGGTGAACTGGTTCGACGACGATTGGAGTTTCCACTAGGCTCGGTTAGTCAAAGTCCCTGCACAAGTTATAATGACAGGGATCATCATACTGGACACATCGCCAAGCCGATCGCGGCGCAGACATAGCTTCCTCGGCGGATGTTAATGTATCGAGGGAGCAGGGCCGTCATATCGGTACCCGCAGAGACTGAGTTGGCGGAAATGTTGGTCCCCAGTTGCGCCAGAGCAAAGCCCGTCGAGATGATGAAGACCCCGAAGCGCTCAGCAGAGCTTGCCCCGTCCAAGAACTTGCCCAGCAGATCCAGGGGGTTCCAGACAAAGTCACCGCCAAAGATAACGGCCGACGACGAGGAAACGATGATCCCGATGAATGAGGTAATTCCGAATCCGATCGGGATGGTAAGCAGTTGAGACCACAGCGCATCCTTCGGTGTCCGCGAGAACCGGGAGAAATCCGGATCATTGACGATCAAAGTGGCGAAGTTGCTCAGGCAGCTCATGATCGATTTCACCACGGCCCAGGCCAGCACGCTGCCGTGAACCGAGGCGGGCTGGTGGACAATGGGGCCGATTCCGTTGGCGCGGGAGATGGCCCAGGCGAAGAACGCAATGGCAGCGATGGGCGAATAGATGGCCTTGACGGTGAAGAGATGACGGATCTTGTGCACGGGGAACCAGAGCGCGGGCAGCGATAGCAGCCAGAACAGGAAGAAACTCAGAAAGTTCTTCGTGTCGACGCCGGCACTGGCAGGGATCCCGTTGGGCAAATTGTTGTAGCTGGGCCATATGGATCGAATCATCAGGGTGACACACTCGCCTGTTACACATCAGATATATTCCGATCAAGCCATTGCGGCTGGTTTCGAGTAGCAACGGCGCCAGGACTTCCTTACCTCCAATGTAGCCTTGGACACCGTACCACACGACAGCCATGGCCGCTCGATTGAATACGGGCCAGAAAGACCCCCAGATACCGAAACTCGAGCGACAGGCGACAGGGAAGGAGATGTGGTAGACGGCACCAATGCGACCCGTCAAGCACACAAAACAGGCGGCAATGAAGTACCCGACCCAGACACATATCCACGACTGCCACCATGACAGGCCATCCACAATCATCGAGGAGGAAATCATCCAGGTATTCTAGTCGAACAAGCGGATTTGGTCAGCCGGGAAGGGCGGTAGGCCATGATCGGCGAAGATGCCCGCAGTAGTACTCACGATGTTGAGAGAATCTGCTATCCAAAAGGCGACGAAGTTGTACCATCCCCATTGTCGACGTTCATGTTCAACTGCAGGATTCCGAATCCATCACGGTCAGTCCGTGCGCGAGAGCCAGAGAGAGAGGATCACGCCGCAAACAGCGACCCGTCCACAGATCGACCAACGTACCTGGTTGTAAATCATGGTTCATCAACATCAACTGAGTGTTGGACAGTCCCGGCTCCGCGGACACCTCGAGTTTCTTCAGCCATCGTTGCAGACGAGTTGTTTCCATGCCTGTGGAGATAGTCGGAATGAGCGATGTTGAGAGGGAGTAGGCAATGCACTCAGAAGCTAGAGCTAAGCCAGCCTAGTCGAAATCTCGCCACGCCGACAGGTATATACAAGATTGGCGGGGGAAGGAGCGAGCCTAGGGGGACCAGAGCCTTTCCAGATCCTTTCTTTCGACGATGAGTGGATGGACGGATGAGCGATTCAACCTGCTTGATGGGAGATGGGAGGGCAGGGAGGTAGGCGATGGAGATAGAAGGAAGTTATAATGAACAGGCTAAACCAGGCAGCCATAGCAGCGTTGTATAGTTTTAGTATGCCTTATTTATATAGCAGATGCTATCAAGATAAATTGAGTCGGAACGTACCGTATCATCGCCCTCGTCATTGATTCTCTCGGCAAGCCAATCAGCAGAGCCAAGAGGGCCCCTGATAGTGGCCTTTTTCCCCGTACGCCATCATGACATGAAAAAGGACGAAAAGGGACGAAAAGGACCAATTCGACTCTGCGCCCCTCCGCCTCCTTGACGCCAGATAAGGAATTGGGAAAATTGGTCAGATGGGCCGAAGATCATCCATTCATCAGCCATGGGCCTTTCTTATCGCCCGCCATGGATGGTGGAACGGGAGCACCGAGCGCGCTGAGGCACCCGTGCCAGTAACCTACCAACCAACCTACGGTGCCACTGTGCCACTGTGCCACTGATGAATTGATTATCGTAGATCGATATCATTTTTCGTTGCTCGATTCGGTCGAGTAAGCAAATTCTAATTCCTGGCCAGCGAGCGTTATCAGCGCGAGTGGAGCGAGACTAATCCCTCTCCACTGGTTTCTCCGCAAAAAATCAAAGGTGCCTGGTGGGGCATATCTCTCAATATCGCTTAGTATGATAGTATCTAATCATCTCCGGGGGCCCGCTGACTCGATGAGATCGAGTAAAAGATATAACTGAAGAAATCAGCCCATGCCCCGTACTGTCCTCGCTTTTCGGTTCCCCCTCCCCACGGGTCCGGAGGATGCCTGGAAGAATATAGAGTTCCGATGTCGCTGCTGATGCCGCTGCTGATGCCGCTGCTGATGCCGCTGCTGATGCCGCTGTCGCACATTAGTTAAGTAGTGCCAGCTGACTCATCAGACCAGCATAACTAAGTTAACCTCTTCATAAGTAGCACAACTACCTTAACAGCTTACATTAAGTTGCCTACGAGTAAATTAGTCTTGCTTCAGTACTAAATCTAACAAAAAGATGAGACTAAACTGGTTCAAAAACTCTTAACTTAAAAACAAAAATAAAAATGAAAAGAAAAAGCCAAAGCCAAAATAATGATATCTTCCGTCTTCTACCCGCTCGAAGTGCCCTTCGCCTTCAATCGATGATCATGACCAGGCTTTGCACAATTTCTAAAAATCAAATGACGGACAAAAATCCTCGTGTATACAGAACATGCGTTCTTGACATCTTCACTTCGAGTATGAGCTTAAAACAAAAACGATCAATGATCTACAACCAAGCCATCCTCAAACTATCCCAGCAAGCCGACTCAAACCCCCAAAGCCTCATTCGAGATGTAATGACTGCCTCCCGCACACCTATACCCGCGCTCCTGTTTGACCCACTGAAACCCAGCAACACAGACGCCCATCGAACGCAGCTTCCGTTGGATCTGTTGTTCCTTCTTCCTGGCCTGTTCCTCCAACTCACGCTGCCTCCGAAGTTCATCCAGCTTAGCTCGTCTGGCCAGCTCTTCGAGCCGGCGCTGTTCACGCTGCTTTTTAGCTTCCGCGTCGACTTCGGGGTCAGACGATCTGGCCGGAGAATCGGGGGGGTCGGAAGGTAGGTCGTGAGCTGCCTTCTCCGCCTCGCGCTCGTCGGCGAGCAACCTCTTGTATCGGTCGTCTGCTGCCTGTGCGGCTTGTCTGTCGCGTCCTAGTTGCTCCCATACCTCATCCGACACCCCATCGTCCCTGGCGATAGCGCCCGAAAGGGTCTCCTCCGGTGCCGGGGTCGCTGGAGGCGCAGCGGGTTCTTTCTTGGTTGCGGCTGCTGCGTCCTCGGAGGCTACAGGCGGGCTGTATGATGTGGTTAGCACCGGAGAGGCTGGCTGCCGACTGAAACCCTGGGATTGGAGTATATCGAGCGTAGGGTTCCGGGAGACGGATTTGTTTGCTGTGCGCTTGGTGCGCTCGGACAGCATCTTGTCGATCTCTCCGCTGATGACTTCCTCGCAGATGACGATCGTCTTGTCGCGCATGGTCATAATCGCAGCTCTGAAGATGGATTTCGAGATGGTCTGGACGTCACGCGCATTGGCCCAGTTCGCGGTCTGCGTGAGTCTCGTGAATCGGCCCCGCAACTCCTTGGTGAACTCGGCCCGCGGGCACTCCAATGCGTCCAGGTCAAACCCGGTGGTCTTCTGCGAGGAATCGGACTTTTGCTTCTGGAGCAGCTTCGTGAGGAGCTGGATGCAAGCGTCGGGTGTAAGGCTGGCGAACTCAAGCTCTTCCGGGAACCGACTGGTCAAGCCTGGGTTGATGGTCATGAGACGATTGATGTCCTGGTCGTATCCTGCTAGGATGATGATAAGTTTTTGGAAGAACCTGGGCTTGGTGATGCAGTCGACAATCTCATCCATTGCCTCCTGCGCAAATTGCCCTTCGGCGAGTCTGTAGGCCTCGTCGATCAGGAGAACCTTGCCGAGCGATTTCTCCAGTAGTTCCTGCGTCTTAGGACCAGTCTGACCGATATACTGCCCTATCAAATCCGTTGCTGAGCTTTCGACGACCTCCACGGATGACAACAGACCCAGATCGTAGTACACCTGGCCCATCTTTCTGGCTGTACTTGTCTTACCGGTTCCTGGAGGCCCCCGGAACAGGAAGTTGAACGGCACCTGTTGCCTGGGGTCCATCTCAAGCTCTCGGAGGTTCTTGACGGTCAGGCGTAAATCCTCCAGCTTTTCGATGATGGCGTCGCAGCCGACGGTGTCTTGGAACAGCGTCCGGATATTCGTTTCGTTCCGTTCTGCCCGATCATACTCGGGGTCCCAATCCTGAGGTTCCAAATGCTCGAGACTAGAGTTGCCGATCCCGGCCGACCGTCGCTGTTGCTGACGGAGCTTGGCGCCATTCAACAGAATGTCAATCTCGCCTGCGTTGCCAAAGTGCGGACGGTTGCGAGCACGGGCGAGGATCTCCATCGCCACCTTGGCGCCCTGGTCGGAGGTGACAAACCCCTGAGCTTTCAGCTTGAGATCGAGGATCTGTCCCAGCTCGAGGTCGGAGAAGTCGGCAAAATCAAAGGCATCATCGATAGCGAATCGCCTGGAAAGCCCCGGATTGACGTTCTGGAACATCTCCTTCATCTGCTCTTCGTAGCCCAGTAGCAGAACACAGCGGTCGTCGCCCGGAACGCTCTGTACCTCTGCGACGATTGTGTCGACCACCGCTGTCTTGAATTGATTGGAGTTCGAGCCGCTGGCGTCGCGAGTACCACCGCCGAACAAACCATAGGCTTCATCGATGACGAGAACCTTTCCCAGAGTGGATGCGAGAATACCTTTGGTATTCTGCTCAGATCCGCCGATTACACTCCCGATGAAATCTGCTGGGTTCTTGACAATCACTAGAATCAATCACACGGTTAGACATCCTTGGCCACTAAACACTGGAATTACCACTCACCTTCACCGTTCGACAAATATCCAAGGTCCGCAAGAATCTGTCCGTAGAGCTTGGCAACCGTCGTTTTACCTGTTCCCGGCGACCCAAGGAACACGCGGTTGAGTGTGAACTCGACCAGAGGCTTCTCCTTAAGCTCGCGCTCGTAGTTCGCCTGCATACTGTCCAACAAGGCGCGGACGGTATTCTTGACAGCGGCCAGACCGATCATATCCTGCAGCTTTCTCCAAGCAGAACAATCCTGCAACGCTCTCTTAGGCTCCGGACCGAGAAGGTCGTTCTTCGTGAGCAGGAAATCATCGACGGGCGGTTGACCTGGGCTCTTGTTCCTTCTTTCACAGGCGAGTCGTGCAGCCTGGCGCGCTGTGATGCGCGCGAGGACATTTTCCACCGTGCGCGCATTGCCAAAGCCCTCATGGCCCCGTTGTCTGGCAATCCGACGCGCAACGATCCGGCAGTACAACCCGTCCATACCGTCCTCAACCTTCATCTTCCCTCGGAACTTCTTGCTGATTTGAAATTCGAGGATCCGACGGAGCTCCGGCTCGGTGTAGTCCTCGAAGACGATTTCATGCGGGAATCGACTCGGGAGGCCGGGGTTGTGGGCAAAGAACTTCTCCATCTGCCGTCGATATCCTGCCAGAACCACGACCACTTTTCCCGTGAGGTTCTCGATCTCCGCCAGCAGGAAGTCGAGGACCTGGGACCCAGGGCCATTGCTCTGCGCCAGCTGATAAGCCTCGTCGATGAAAAGCACGCCCCCGCCACTGTTGAGGATCTTGTTAAGCTGCTTCTCGCAGTCGGACACGCCACCGTTGGCGAGTCGCGATCCGGTGGTCTCGACAATAGAGCTCCCGGGAATGATCCCCATAGCCGTGAGGAACTTCGCGTAGATGCGTGCAACGGTGGTTTTCCCCGTCCCCGGGTTTCCGAGGAGGACTGAGCCGTACCGATCGGCGTGGAAATCAGAGTCCCTCCTGACCGCGGCGTCGACTTGGGATTTGATGTTGAGGAACTTGGCTTTGATGCTCTCCAGCCCGATCATCCCCATCAGCTGGTCTAGCTCCTTGCTCTGTGCGCCTTCGTACTTCTTTTGGTGTGTCCATTCCTGTTCCGAGGGAGATAAAGCTTGCGTCCCGGTGGGGCTGATCGTAGCCTTCGATGATGGTGATGATGATGATGCTGTTTGACCGAGATTCTTGCTCCGATCGGGCAGGGTCTGGGGACTCTGACCGGTCTGGTCAGCGTTGACAGCAGATGGCGAGTTGTCTCTCTTGCGTTCGGCGCGACGCGTTCTCAATTGTTCAAGATCGTCGAGGGTCTGCTGGAGAACGCGCTGCCGTTCCTCATCATCCCGCTTTTCTTGCTGGAGTCTTCTCTCCTGGGCAATCTCATCTTGGATTTGGGCTAGCTGACATGCATATTCCTGCTGCTTGGCTTGTCGCTTTGCGTCGAGGTCCATGTCCCTTTGCCGTCGGCGCTCGGCCTCCCTGTCTTCCTCAGCACAACGACGACACTGCCCCTTGTGCTGGAAGCATGGTGTCAATTGTTTATGATCGCGGGGGCATATCCAATCGACAGCCATTTCGCACTGCATCTTGGAATGATCTGACAGCTGATGACACTTTTGAGGACAGTCATGCATTCCGCAGTTTAGTTTCGTCCCACTGTCGCACTGGTTATTAGCCACCGTCGCTTAGAACCAGAATCAACAAACCCAGCAAAGGCAACTCACCACGGCTGTTCGCACCCTCCGTCGGGACATTTTGCATCAAAGTCGTCAGGCGATTGGATAACTGCTAGTGTGTTGGGGTGCTGCTCGCATCTTACGGGCAGGCCATCGTACAGGTGTCCGCACGTCTGGAGCTGATCTACAAAAGGCCGCCAAACCCCTTCCCCTTTCTTACTTCGCAGAAAAGTGTTCGAATTTCCAATCATGATGAGCACATCTCGAGCGCGAGAGAGGAGCACGTTGAGCCGCTGCGGGGCCGCCATGAAGCCGATGTCTCCGTTTTTGTTGCTTCTGGTCAAACTCGCGATGACGATTTCACTCTCCTCACCCTGGTAATTGTCTGTGAGCAAGGGGTTAGCAGATACTCTTATCGAACCCAAGGGCACTCTTTCTTTACCGATGGTGGACAGTTTTATCGGTCGCTTGATGTGCTGGGCGCTCGCTTGTGTCATCAGTCCTGCACGGACGAGGTCATAGGAGTCCAGGTCATTGAGTATAGGGTCTGTTTCCTTGCGCAGTTCCTCCCGGAGGAGATGAAGTTGACCCAGGTAAGGAGTCAATACCACCAACTTGTCAGTCCCATACCCTTGCTGGCCGAGATATCGAACGATTCTGAGAACCAGCTGCACCTCGAACGCGTTCTGCTTGCTTGCTTTACCCCCGCTGTCGTTCCTGTCCGCCACTCCACCGAAGCTCCCCTCCGGATGGCGATGGTCAATGAAGATGACCCGGTCCTGCAGACCCCTCGGGGCGGGTCGGTTCATCGTCTTGTCGCCGTCCTGAAGCTCAGGGTATGTCAGTCTGCGCACGAGCGAGGAGATCTCAGGCACCATGCGGTGCTGTTTGGCTAAGGTGGAATGCGGGAATCCCGACAAGACCAATCGCTCGAAGAGTGACCGATTCAGATCGTATCCCGATCCCTTCTCCACCGACAGGCTGTAACTGTTGATCTTGGGTCGCAGTTGCTGGTGGTCGCCGATCATGATCAGCTGCTTAGTGTGGGATCCCAGGGCAGTGAGGACGTGAGACTCGAGAATCTCCCCGGCTTCTTCCAGAAGCACGATGCCCGGGGAGATGGCACCAAGATCTCGAGCGTGCATTGCGGCCCCAGTCGTGGTGCATCCGATGATCCGTCTCGACCGGAGAATTTCGCGGGTTGCTTCGCTCCACAGCTCGGCGCGCCTTGTCTCGTAGCTGTCCAATCTGCGCATGAGACTCTGGACATTGGCAACCTGCTCTTCAAGCAGAACATTGGTCCACGACTCCAGCTTTGTCCGGCGAGTGTCTTTGCTCGTTTGCCACACGCCGTTGGCTTGCTCGCTGAGCCGATTGGGGATTGTCGTGGGGTAGTTCTTCCCTTGCACCCAGTGACTGTATAAGTAATGAGAGGTGACTGCCTTGCCGCCTTCACCGACGAGAGTCATCCCGTCGGGGTCATCTGGAGGGGTGAATGCTTCATGATAGTCAGGCTCCTCAAACTGCAGGTATTCAAGGATCGTGTCGGGGTTAATCTTGAAGTTAAAATAGGTGCCAGACGCGCCGTCGAGAGCTTCACGCAAGTCCGTAGCCTTTCCCCTGATCTCATCGAGAATCCGCCACGTAGCCGGGGTCCGCCTATAGCTGGCCTGCTGCTCAGAGAGCTTGAGCGGCGCCGTCCGTGGAGATGATTTGGAGCCCAGTCGAACGATCGCCGATGAACTAATCCCAACGTCTAGCAGATCTTCCAAGAACTGGTCAAGGGCATGGTTCGTGTAGCACATCACAAGGATAGCCTCTTTACTGTGATCAAACAGGGCTTTCGCGATGAGAGCACCGACGAACGACTTTCCAGTCCCTAACACCAACAAGCCAGGTCAGCCAGCGGTCATCCCCGCAACACACCGTAACAAGGAACATGTATTTACTTACCTGGTGGGCCCTGAATCAAGCTGATCTTCTGCGTGAGGCCGGAGACAAACGACTGCATCTGAGATGCATCGAGGCTGATGGGGTTCTCAGTGGCCAGCACGTCCTGCAGCGTGGTCACACCCTGATCAAGCCCCTCAATCAGCCGTTCGTCAATAGTGTGGGATCGGGCGATCTCGCTACCATGTCGGTAGTCCAGCAACTCCTCCGCCAGAGGCAGCTCCGTCTTCTCCTGGAGACGTCTGAGAATGGGCTCGTAGGCGAACACAGCAGTATCGACAAAGACGAACATGAGGTCGCTGTAGAGGGTGAAGTAAGACAGCGTCTTTCTCACAGCCTCATCTCCCACGATCCGCAAGACAATCTGCGGCACGTCCTCGAGAAGATAATCAATTTGCCGGTCCACTGTAGCAAAGGAGACAATCTCTTCACCACCACCACCACCACCACCACCACCACCGCGGAGCAGACAGCCAAACGATTGATGGCGCAGATAGCCGCGGTCGCTCTTCAGGAATGCCTTCCGACCCTCCTTGTCCCCGCGGGCTGTCAAAGCCTCCAAGCCCTGCCGGCAGGCAATCACCAGGCCGCACGGGGTCATCCGCTTCTCTGAGCCATTGCATATCTCTTTCAGGGACAAGCCCTTCAGCGCCGTCACCGTCCGACCACGCCTCCTCTTCTTCTTTTGCTTCGTCATCGCCTGCAGCTCCTCGCGGATATCCGAGAGCATGTCCTCGCGCAGCAGCCGGAACTGATTATCGAGATGCCCTGCGGCCCGCTTCTCCACAGGCAGTCGCAGGACCTCGTCCGCGCGCCGATAGAACGGTTTTGTCTCGACCGACCGGCACAACTCGTCGTTGGTGGGATAGATGGCGATCTGGCGATAATCGGCGTGGTCATTGTCATGCCGGCCGCCTGGAACGTAATCGGCGTTCTCGACGACCGTGCACGATGCACTTGTCTTGAGCTCCACCACCTGCTTCAGCTTGTGGCCATAAGCGCGGGTTTCCGGGGATCTCGACGACTCCAGCAGCGCACCACTGTCGACCACGGTCCGGGCATCGTTCACCAGGTCGGTCCTTTCGGTAGCCGCCGCCGCGGCGTCCGCGGGGGTGGTAAGACATTCGATCATGAGCCATGCAAAGGCCTGGACCGCCGGCTCGGTGAGGCGTTGGGCGTGGAAGGCCCTCAGAAACGCAGTCCACACCGTGCGCGGCTCGACCACCAGGTCCAGAAGCTCGCGCAGATGCTGACCACTGCATAGTCTCTTGACGGAAGGTGCCGCGAGGTACTGCAGAAAGACAGCCGTGTGCTTGTTCAGGAAGTCTGGGTCGATGTTGGATCGGATCCCTGCGTGGATGGCGGTTCGGGCAGCGGGGCTGGCGACGAGGCGCTCAACGCATGCTGCGCGGTCATTTTGCTCGGCAATCGCCTCCAGGAGCAGGGTGAAATGCTCGACGGTCACGACGGGTCGTTTGCCTTTCAGGACAAGGTCGAAGTATTTGGCGAGCCGGTCAGTACGAGATGCCATCTTTAATGGGCAGCCTTGTAACCGGCTTGAGGTGGTTGGGGGAAGATAAAAGGATGTATTTGACATGAAGACGGAAGAAACAATCGATACCACATATATATAGCATCTGAACTACAGGTGGCACAGCACAGGCGCATCGTAGAAGCCGCCGTGGACAAGGCTGCGAGTTTCCTGATGCGTTGGTTGTTATTCACCAACCGAGTGCTGTGCCGCTCAGCTAGTAAGCGCCACCAGCCATTCACCCATGCAAAAGAGGCAGATCTAGACAGGCAACGGGATAAACGGAGCTCGCCTGCGCCTCGCTCTCTGCTCACAGTATCGATTTCCTAGGCTGGCTTCATGTCTTTCACCTGCCTCTTAGCCATAGCTCCCGAGCCAGCAGTTAGTAATGAGGTAGGTGGCGTGATAAGCCTGATCTTGCTTTTTGCAGGCAGTATATAGGATACAGGCAAAAGTGAATGTCCAGATACTATTCTTGAACATGTTGGATAGTGACTCTAGGGCTCTCCTGAACTTACAGATCATTTCAAGGAGGGGAAGGAAAGGCTCTGCTCTGCACCTGGAGCCAGGGGCTAAGTATCTTTGTTTCAGAGCATCAGAGCCTACCTAGTCACTACCTGTAGGAAATACCTAGAGTCAATTAAGCCAACCTACTATACCCTATTAAGCTTTGCTTCAAAGCTAAGATAGATTGCTAGGTGAACCATCAGATAAACCACAAAACATACTACAGAAATAGTTTGTTAGCGGGTATCTTTGGAGCATACTATGTTTATTCGGTGATCCCCTTCGAGAGGTTATTTGAGCTGTATCTACACTGAATTCAAGGTTATGTGTAACCATGCCGATTCTCAACTCCAAGGAAGATTGATCCATACTACCCATCCCTGACTTCCATCCAACCGACAAGTCCCTAAGAAATCCGTTTTAGTTGTGCTGTAGCAGAGTAGTTGCCACAAGCACAGGCTTGTTGCCTTGTAAAATCATTGCGAAGTGAAATACATGCTATCTATGATCCCTCAAAACAGACCCACTCAGCTAAACCCCGGGACAATGCAAGATAATAAATACACAATAACACGGACACATCACCATGTCATGATCAACAGACAGAACCACCACAACCACCACCACCAACACCATCATGCCACCACTCTGACTCAACCCTTATTCCACTTTCCGAACTTCACATAGTCGTCATACAGAGCCTTGAACACCGCCCGCCCGGAAACATCTAGTCCCGCATTCAGCGCCCGCATTGTATCGCGCGACATCACGTCGAGCACAGCATACAGACCCGGAATGATTGCCGCCTTCACGTCAGGTGAAAGAGACCCGCGAAGTGCGCTCTGCGTATAATCCTGGATCAAATACTGAAGGTACTGCCCCGCAATGCGCTTGGCCTTCTTCGTTTGATCGGTCAATCCTTCGAAGCCCACGCCTGCTTGCGTCGGTCTCGAAACGGCCGAGACCGTCGGGTCGCAAAGGGAGGTTAGAAGACGGGTGAAGTGCACAGCGTGCGATGCCTGCAATGGAGCAAGCCAGTAGGGCTGCTGCCCGGATTTTTTTTCGTGCAACATGGACCGACTGCGCTTCTTGGAGCGAGCAAAGAGACAATCCAGCAAGCCACTGATAACAGGATTAATAAGGTGGAAGCGACCGCCGAGCTTTTGACGGTGAAGACCGAGAAGGAGACCCATAATGCGACAGAGACGGATATAGACAGTTCCAGCATATGCAGGGTCGATGCAGGGACCGGATTTGGAGGTACACACGGCGATCGTTCCCAACAGATTATCGATATTGAACTGCGTGACGCAACGCGTGTGATTACGCAGTATGATATCCAGACACTCAGTAGCGAATGTAAATGGTTCGATGGAGTTGTTCTTGAGTAGAGAATTGGTTGCGTCCGTAAACACCAACCCCAGTTCGTGGCCGGTTTGGCTTTCCTTGTCTTCAACGGAGGGCAGGGAAGCAATCGCCAAACCGGCGATAAGCAAGTGATACTCGGCATTCTCCCCAACGAAGCCGATTTTGCGAATGTCTTGGATCACCCGGGTCAGTTCGTCCGCCGTCATGGTTCGGAATCTTGCACTAGTGGATCGGATGAAGATTCGCTGCTCTTCGCTATACATGTGTTGCAGGGGGAGGGATTCCGCACACTGGATGACAGGCTGTGTGATGCTCTTCTCGGACCCTCGCCCAGCCAAAACACGTCGTCGAATGAGTCTTCTCAGGGAAGATGCCGAGTCAACTGACTTCTCAACATAACTCTCAATCCTGGACAAGAATTTTTCGACCTCGGTGTGATCCATCGCAAGGTCTTCAAAGTCCTCTAGCGCGTCGAGGATCTTAATCAGTGTGATAGTGTCCTCCAGTTGCTGCTTCTTGCACTGTGTCTTGACAGACTTGACCTCCGCAACAACCAAGTCAAACACTTTCTTACGGCAAGCAGCAAGCTCGGTTTCATCGAAGACACCCTCAAGTGCCTTCCGATTGAGCCACAACTGAGACAGCGAAATTCTAAGATAGAAGCAATCCATGGAGTCACGGTTCAAGGACTGCAGCTTAAGTGCCTTGGCCGACACTTTGCGATACATCTTCTTGAACAAGCGCTGCCGATCATCGTCAGAGAGAACGAGTAACTTGGCAATAACCGCTCGGTGAAGATTTCGGTAGGCCTTCATGATCTGGAGATCGATATCACTTCCTTGCAGAGAAACCGCCTTGGCGACCGTCCAGAGTGGCTCCCAATTGCTCGTCAGAGCCGCCGTAGACTTCGGCATCTCGGCCAACTTCGCCATTAAAGACAGCATCCCCACAGTAACCTCAGGGGTGCTACCTTCCTGTGCAATGACCTCCTGCAGTAGATCCAGTAAGATTGCTCTCTGGCCACGGGTGACAAGCGGGGCAGGGATTCTTTGCAGACTTTCAATGTATAGTCTGCGATTAGGAACGTCTTCCTTGACTCGCTCAGACAGCACTGCAATAAGATCAACCGCAATAGACGGCGCATTGAGAAGGTATTCATGGCAGACGAGACTTGCCCAAGCCTGAAGATACTTGGAATCGGGATTGACAGTTTCGAGAGTAGATGGCGATGGCTTATACTGTGAAGTTGCCAGGGACAAAACATGCGCAAAGAGAGAGCGTCTGGTTTCAGACTCCACCTGGGGCCATATGTCAGGATTCCTGACCAAGCTCAAGAAATAGGCCAACGCAAGTGTGGTGGGCGACGTGAGCGTCTCAATACGCCCGTCCCAAGGGGAATTTATGGACTTGGCGGCATCTTTGCCCGAGATGGACTTTATGAGGGTTGTGACCTCGTTCGTTAACAAGCGGAATTGTTCAGGGTTTGCAGTAGCTTTGATCGCGGTAAGAGCAAATTGGAACGCCTCAAAGCACTCCAGAGGCGCACAAAGCTTTTTCATACGGCCCTGGTGAACACGCTGTATCGACTCTGCAGCCGTAGCAACAAGCTTGATAATGGCAATACCCAGTTCGTTGTCGGTAGACTGTACGTTGTTCTCCAGGAGACTGCGGCCGAGCCGCCACAGCCGCCACCGCCAATGTAACTTCTGTTCGGAAGACAGTGTCGATGTCACAGTCTGGATAATGGACGTCAAATCCTCGTTCCTGTCCTCGAAGCTAAGGTCACGGCTTCTGAAGCCAGATTCCAGAATTACAATTTGCGCATAAGCGCCGGGAGAATTCTGGATTCTACCATCTTCTGCTTTGATCTCCACTGCCGCCGCGCGCATCTGAGCGGCAGAGTGCGCGTAGGTCAAAGGATTCCGCATTAGCTCGCTGAATTCGTTGCACACGTCATCGTCTTCCCATACAATGAAGTGAGTCAACGCCTTTTCCTTATCCTTCGAGCGGGCTTCTTCGACCTCGATAAGCTGCTCGTACCATATCTGCATGAAATTTGGCAGGTCCCGGGCGCCGACAAACCCGCGGAGAAGAGGTATCACTATGCCGTTCTTGATCGTCCTATAGCTATCGTCGACGTGAGCAACGCCGGTGCGCCAGTGCAAAAGGATCTTCTCCAGCAGAGCGTTGAGCAACTTCTCAGAGTCGTTGAGTCCGGAATTGGGCAAGAAGATGTCGGTGCCTAGTTCAATAAGTAAAGCGGTGAGGCTCCACTCCACTTGCGACAGGCCTTCCTTGAGGAGACCAGTATACGCAGCGTGAGTAAGCAATGTATGGAGGGACAGTTTGATGTCTCTAGCAAGAACAACACGAAACAAACGTTCCAGAATGGCGACAAACTCAGTAAAGTACGCTGTCGTGTTCTCGGACTTTGCGATGGAGTACGCCAGCTCCGCGACCGCGACGAAAAGGGTTTCCAACCAAGGACCTTCATGGTTCTGTCTTCTGAACGTGTCCCGGGGAACTGTGCGTGCTGCGATGTCGAAAAACTCCGGTAATAGCTCAGCGGTCTTCCACTTGGCTTTCTTCTGAATGTCGGCATTGTCACTGGTGCCCTGGTCGGGATTCTCTGGTGCGCAAAGAAGGGGCCTGAACGTATCCGATACAGGCTTCACAGGACTCCAATCAGGCTCGTTGGCTGAATAGTCAATGCCGGAGCCGCCTCCCTCGAAGAAGCTGGACCGGGCGGGGAGCACCACGTGCAGTGCAATGAGGCGTTCTAGCCCGTGCAGAACGTGGGCCCTCTCATCGGTGTCCAGACGTATTGAGTTAACGCAGAATTGTAGTCTGAGAGCACTTTGGAAGCAGTGTTTAGAGAAACATTCCTGGAGAGGGGTCAGCGTTGTGTCTGCCGGATATTAAGCTCCACACACCACCTACATTACTTAGCCCCTTTTCAGAATCGTCACGACGAGACGACCTCAACTCCCACAGATCAAAAATGGCCGGAAGCACGTAGAGCAGATGCTGTAGGTCCGTAGTCTGCTGCGCGTGGAAGAGTTGCGTCGTGATGACGGCAGCGAGCCGGAAGGACTTCTGCAGCGTGACGGCGACCGATTCGGGCTCCCCCTTAAGAGCGTGCTTCAGATGCGAGCTCGCTACATCGTCGACCCCGGATGTCCGATCGACAAGCATAACCAGGCTATACAGACAGTCCAGTGCGCGGATAAAGGCCACAAAGCAGGAGGTTGGAGTACGGGGCGGGTCGTCGATATCCATGGCATCAGGTTCGTCCGCGCCGGACCTCTTCCTCTTGGTTCCCTTCTTATCGTAGTCGCCATTGCGGTGTGGTGAATCGCCCAGAGTGTGACTGGATTCCGAGCCGGAGTGCAGGAGCTCGGCTGTCCCATCCCCTAATCCGGCCAGCACATCCTCCTCCAGGTCGGCGATAGCATCGTGGACAATTCCGAGAAACTTCTGGTCCTTCAGGGTCGTGGCCAATGTCTTGGGCGGGATTAAATCGATCAACTGTCGTAGTAAGAGGAAGGAGGTCGCATCGACACGATAGTTCTTTCCAGTCCGCAGCCTCTTCAACAGCCATCGCAGAACCCATTCCGCTTTGGGGGCGGCGTTGTTCTGGAAGTGGGGGGTTCGGTTGATTTCAGGGTGACTGGCACATAGCGCGAGATCTAAGCCGATAATATTCGCAGCGTCGTTGAGCTGTGCGGTGGGAGATGCGGTGCCTTTTTCGAGACGGAGCAGAGCCTCCTGCGACGAACGCGGGCGCTGTATAAGAAAAAAAAGGATGCGATTATTTAGCCGACTTATCTACCTATCAACAAGAAGATAATTTCAGGCGCAAAAGAACGACCTACCTCCGCGACGGAAGGCATCTCGACTTGGAGATGTGAGACAGTCAAGTAACCTGGTCGTTGGAGTAGAGTTCAAATCAAGATCGCTTGTCTGACCAGGTCAGGACGAAGCAAACATCGTCCGTATGGAAGAGAAGAAGGAGGAGGAGGAGATGAGGGGGGGGGGGTTAGTTTTTTGGATTTGGTGTTCCCGAGATTAATTCTAATTATTATTCGAGAAAAAAAGTTGGACTGACGCCAGAGGGGAAAAGGCGGCGTGCGGGCGGAATGCTTTCCCTTTCTTTCTTTCTTTATTAGCAGCAGTTCTTACCAGTTGGCAAGCCAGCCCCCAGCCTAATTTTTCCGACCGCCTTTCAATTCGGTAGCAGAGCTCGAACGTCCGCACCCGATCTTGATCTCGTGTCTGTGTGTGTTATCCCCTCCTCTCCCAATCTTCTCTCCTCCTTGATTTAGCTCTAATTCACTTTCAGGCATCCCCGCCTTTGTCTGTAATTAGGTCTGTGCCGACTGCTAGTTGTCAATATACTCCATCAAGAAACACCACTAATACTCAATTGAAGTTTCTCGCAATGGCCGACTCCAACGAACCCCAGCCGGTTGTACCGGTCCCTCGCTCCACTAAGCCCGTCAGCGAGGCCCTGCTGAACGAGAAGGTACGCCGACTGATGAGCACTGGCTCAATTTCCTCTTTTCTTTCCCTGCTATTTGGTCAAATCAATGCAAAGAGATCAATGATCCGGCGAGGCGCATCTCTACCTTGGCGACGACCCGTCAATCTCCGTTGACATCATCCGGAACACCCTCATACATCGATCTCTGCGAAATCAATCCTTGAACACACTAAGCTAATCTTGGGGATCTTCTTTTACACAATACAGTGGGACCGCGCCATCTCTTCCCTCATCATCCGTTCCTCCCTCGGTCTCTCCTTCGGTGTCGTCTTCTCTGTTCTGCTCTTCAAGCGGAGAGCCTGGCCCGCCTGGGTTGGTCTGGGCTTCGGTGCCGGCCGTGCTTGGGAGGAGGCTGACTGTATGTTGTTTCATCACTGGATGGCCCAATAGCACGCGCACTGACTGGTTGATTCTAGCTTCCTTCCGTCGGGGTGACTCCCCCGTCAGAGATGCTCTGCGCCGGTAGAGCATCCCCGACTCGGCATCTGTTTCTGTATGATACCTGTATAGCTGGGAAGGAAATCAAGTCGGCGGTGAGGGCACACAGTGGTGGTGCTGTTTAGAAGGCTCTTCTAGACTTTTCTTTACTTTTAGCATGCAATTTATCGTTGGACCTGTTCGGCTTTACGGCGCATCTACAGTAGTCAAGGACAAGACCTGGCTTGCTTCTCATGCTTAAGTTGTGTGCTCACATTTAATATGTGTGCGCAACTCAAGCATGTCATGACCTGGCAAATTGCGCCAGCTCCTCTATCTATGTGTACTTGGAAAGGTTTCAGTCCAGCTCTTGTAAGGCCTGGCTGTTGTGAGTAAGCATAGTCCACCGGTTAAGCTTAAGAAAAAGTAGTAGATTCACGAGAGGAGTAATGTGTGTCATTTAAAGGTATCAAAAGATCGGGCAAGCATATACACAGTTTTGTCATATACTCGATCACCGTGTGTACGGAGGGGTATCATGATCGATCGTCAGTCATTGGAGGATGTTAGCGCCGGTAATATCCCATCCCGGAGGTCCTGAATGGCAGACGGTCACGGAGGGAGTAGGAATTTGAGCCTTAGACCAGATTCGGACCAGAAGTGGATATTTCAAAGCATGGAGTGTGAAGGTGCAAAAAGATTTTCAAACGCGGACATCTCGGATGTGCCAGACAGTGCTCCATCAGCCGCGGGGTTTGCGAGATTAGTATTGTCCCATTGGTGGTTATCGGATGGCAAGGGAGCGATTGCGAGACCGTTGTGTCCACTGTGCGTGAGGCAGCCTTCGCAAGTGCAATCGTTCCCGCACTGGCAACTACCGGTTATGTCTGAGCAAGCACTCGGAAGTCCTATTGGATACTCAAGGGTATAGTACTCCGAGGGCTCCATCATATGCTGATTCGCTATGTAATTTGTGGAAGGACTTGTGTAGCCACCGCTAAGGCTGCCCGGTGTAGCAGACTGGTCGACGAAGGGATGCGTTCCCAATGGTTGAACAAGATTATCAGATGGGTGGCTGAAATTGGCATATGAATAGTGCAGCGGAGAAAACATCGGCTGTTGACCCAACGAAGGAGAGTTTTGACGGCTACTTGGGCTTTCCAAACCTTGTTCTCCATCGTTCAAGGCCACCAATAGTCCCATTTCTCGTACATGTTGTCTGGTGGTGTTGTTGAAGGGATGAGAAGCACAGCCTAGACATTGACAGTTGTCACCACAGTAACATTCATGAGTGGCATCATCCTCCTTTGCTGCCGCGGACGAATAGTCGGAATGTCCCGTCAAGTCTGAGAATTGTGGCTGCTGCATCAACGCTTGAGAAAGCTCGGTGTCGTTGGAGGACCCGTGAAGTGGCATCTCTAACGAAGTTGGGGTGTAATGGGACAAATAGTCAGGAATGATTGATGAGAATGCTTGGTGGCTCGGAGAAAGAGATGATGATGACAAGGTATGACCTTGCTTCGCTATTTGGGAGTCATGCCAATTGGAGACTTGGTGGTTGGAGAAGGAGGAAAACGGTGTTGCGTTTCCGCTGGAGCTTGATGATTGGGATCCAACCGACTTTACGGCTTTGATCTTCTGAGAGCATTCACTTTGGGGGGCTATCTTAGGCTTCGCACAGCAAGAACGCTGGACTTCGGGTGCCGGCGGTGCAATTGGCTGACGCGTACCATTGCAACAACTCTTAGGTTCAGGTATCGTTTTGTCAGAACTGGAAGGATTGTCGGAGACAGGGTTTCCTCCAGTGCCGTTTAACACGTCCGAGTTTTGGTTGGCTGCAACGAACGATTTGTTTAATTCCAGATCCTGGGGGTGGTATGAGATGGAGCGATTGCGAAATTCACTCTCAGTGAGTTGATTCGCAAATACCGGAATAGAATTGAGCGCCTTGGTCAAGGCTTCTGGCGCAGTTTTGATCTGCCGTTTACCGGGCTTCTGCACTTTGATGGGTGCATTCGAAGGCGCTGGAGTTGAACCGACGGCCGGAGAGGAGACAGTCCCAGCAGCATCTGCGGGCACTTGATACACTGGTCTGCACAAACAACCGGAACCTGGACCATATCAGCAACCCTGGACGAGACTTTCAAGAGGCGGAGCGACAATTTAGAATTTTGAGGCAGGCGATTGGGACCGAACCAACCTTTTGGAATTCGGATCATGAAAGCATATGTTTTCTGGCAGCTACACGTGCCCTTCGGATGAGGGCATCTGGCGAGAGGTCGACCAGCTTTTGGCACTTTCATCATCATTCTGTCAAAGTGTTGACATTTGGACGACCGATGACCACGAATGCATGGCTCGCTAGTGAAATGAGATCAATATTAGCGCAAGCGCGGAATAAACCCGGAAATATGCCATACCACGACCATTTGGCGCCTTCTTCGTCGAGGGGCATTTTGAAGCTCAATCCTGCATTCGTCAGGCGTATATTGTGATATGGATCGAGTTCCGCTGACGGCGCGTTTGCTCCCAAGGTGGACTCAGCGACGCAGTAGTTTTACCCCGCCCAGAGGGGTCCGATCGTGCCACGGCTTCCAGTGTACTCTACTCGCGAGGCCTCGGCGCAATCTCAAGAGGGTTAGAGCCACCACAGACCTATCCTCAACTCAGCGACCAAGAGCAGTATCGAAAGAGGTCAGGCTGATGGCGGTGACCCTTGTGATACTATCGATCTAGTGATTCGGTTGATACGTCGTGAATGATTTTCGAGACAGTGCGAACTGGTCGGTTACTCAGGTAGCGACAGATTCCGGATATGGAGAGTTGGGAGACAATGAAGAGAACAAGCGCCGTGTGATAAGCCCAGGGCCATCGAAACTCCGCTCGTCGCGCTCTGTTGTGCTGTCGTCATCGAACTACAGCCCCGCAGGCAAGAAGGAAGATTCAAAAGAGAGGAAGATGCGGGGGAAATGCGGACGGTGGGCGCGAATGTCAAAGCGAGCAATTCTTGATCGATAAGGATAAGCCGAGACGCCCGCCGCAACCTCAGGCACTCACCCCTCCTTCGGCTTTGGTTTCAGGGCCTCAGTGCCTCAGGCAATAATTAGCTTGGCACCGGAGTTTACTGTTTCGCAGCTATTCCGAGGGCCATCGCGATGCTTTCCGTTGGATACGATTCTGATCCTCCATTCCTCGATTCGCCTGCCTTTAGGCGTAATACACCTCGCTGACTGAAGCTGAAGCTGGGACTAGCTTACAATCTACCTGAATACTCATCGACATCGCTCCTCCTTGTTTCTTCTGTTATTCCTCCTCCAATGACCTCGGAACGCCGTGAAGCCCCCGGCCAGACGCCGGACAATGCCACTGCGGCGGCGCGCGCTCGAGACTTCTTCTCCGTCCCTGCACCAGTCAAGCGCATCTTCGACAAGTTCCCTCTTGTCACTTGTCCTGCCAATGATCTTCCGTACTGCTCTTGGTCCAATCGACAGGGAAATCGGTTGTTTGTTTTCACAGATGCCGCCGGCGCTAGGCATGGGAGGCCGTCTTTCAACCCTCAATGCCTCAAGTGGCAGGTAATTGCATACAACAATCTTCCCCTCAAGTCTCGCATTGTCGCTCACGACGCTCGTCTGTGGTGTTCTAGGCATATCTGCGGTTCGCCGGCATTGAATTCGACATCGTCCCATCCAGCAACCATGCATCGCCCACCGGCGCCCTTCCTTTCCTCCTCCCCGCCCTGCCCGTCGGCAGCAACGCCCCGATCCCTTCCAGCAAGCTCCAAAAATGGGCCATTGAGCAAGTGCACTGTGAGGAGGAGCAACAACTAAACACGCGCTTCGAAGTATATGTATCGTTGCTGGACCACCGGATACGAAATGCCTGGGTATGTGTTTTTGGCGTGTGGTGACAAGCGGAGGCAGGCCCCGCACGAGTCCTTATGCTAACATACGACGTTCGTTCCAGCTGTATGCCCTGTACGTTGACAGCGAAAACTTCGACGCCGTTGCGCGACGTCTTTATGTCGACGCGAGCACCACGAACCCCGCCGTCCGGGCCGCTTTGGCGTTGCAGCTGCAGCAGGCGGCGCGCGCCGAGCTCCTGAAGACATCGACCTATATCGACGCCGGCGCGCTCGAAGCGGAAGCGGGCGAGGCATTCGAGGCCCTGTCGACGCTCCTCGGGGACAGCGTGCACTTCTTCGACCGGCCCAATCCGGGCCTATTCGACGCCAGCGTCTTCGCATACACGCACCTGATCCTGGACGAGAAGATGGGCTGGAAGCGCGACCGGCTGGGACAGCTGCTGCGACGCCATGAGAACCTTGTACAACACCGCGAAAGACTGTTGAAGTTCTTCTAGAGCTGTATGACGAAAAGAAAGAAGAAACGATTTTACACCAAACCCACTCTCTGTACCATATTAGCCCCCTCTACCACCCGATCGCCGAGAAGCACGTTTACCTAGCCTACTAGACATAAAGATATAGAATTATTCTCAAGACAAGCCCTGCCCAACCTTTTCAAGCCATCTTTGTGATTATCTCCAACTCAACTTTTACCCTCTTTCCTTGCTCCATTAACCCAGAACCCATCCACATCCGATTCTCGTCCACCCGACTTTGCATCCACAACAATACATATACTATGTCCACTTCACTAGCTACCTGTTCTCATCCGCCCAGCCTCCCCCCCCCCCGCCGCCTCCACCCTCCCAGAATTGATATCCCTCAAGCCCAGACCAGACCAACTTGTCACCCACGCCCAGTGATCCATACCCAGTGATCCTTCAAGAAGCAAAAACCCCAATCAACCACAACCAATAGCATAAACAATATGACTGAAGCTCAAATTCCTCCGTAGGGATTAAACAAAGTGGCACCGTGCCTACCCGTTACGTTCTCCACTTGACAAGAAAGCCTATCAAGGTAGCCCCGTGCACCATGTGCACCATCCGCAAAGGAGAAAAGTCATACATTTACCAGGTCCATCCCTGTCCATCCCTCCCCCAGAAAAGCCATAGGCCGTGTAAACCGCGTGAGCAATAATCCGACCTGACGGGATATTACTAAAAGTCCCGGGCCCTCATGTGTAGTTACTGTAAACGGCAACTCTGGAAGAATAACCGAAAGAACCGTACAGTCAGCACCGAGCCCCTCCAAACCCCAACCC